CACCACCTCCCCCAGGTTTGCTAGCATTTACAGAGCAGTTTGAGATCCCTTGATGATTTCAGTGTTTGTTTAAATAGCTTGGAGAGATACATACATGCTGCTATACCTTAATACAGATATATGATACCACCTAGCTGGTATAGAACTTTATGTTATTAAAGTATAAAAAGGAGATATTTGGGAAAAAATATTTTTATGGAAGTGCAGAAAAAAATTAAGCAAGCCCAGAGTGGTTGTTAAGATTGAAATCACTARAAGTATACCTTACCATAAGGAGAATTAGCATTTATAAATTAGGTTGAAGACTTGTACAAAAAACCAGGCAGTTTAAAATTTGCAGATTCAGGTGAGGCAGAAGCAGTTTATTTCTATAGCTGCAGGAGGGAAGATGTCATGGTAGCGATTCAGCTCTCAGTCTAATTCTGACTTAAAGCAAAAGTACTAGGGCTTATACTAATTCACAGATACAAGTGGCCCTGYGAGGTGGGGGTGACACAGCAGAGCAGCATCTGGTGGAAAGAATGATTGTCAGGGCATGTGCCCGCACGTTCCTATAACAGCTGCAAGCACAGCTAGGCAGCTTGGTGCTCACCTGTCCAGGTCATCCCTCCCTTATTTGTGACACTGTTCTGCCCCTCATCAACTTCTGGACTTTGCAAGGTCTGCTCCCACAAAACAATGTTGGCAAAGGTACCCCCTGAACGGTTAAAAAAACTTTTAAGTCCTTCTATTGTCTTGCAGACCTGTTTCAAAAGAGAGTGCCACWTTTTGCCATAAAAATGTTTTTTATTTCCTTATAAGCTTTGCATATATGCACATACCATAATTCAGTGACAACTAGCTACCTAAGCACAATCTACCATCTGTTTAAACAAATGTTTAGGGCCCTCTTCACCAATCCAAACCCTCATCTGTCTCTATACTGCTTCATAAACAACCATTATTCTCACTGCTGCTTAGAATGAGGAACTCTCCCTGATTTGTGGACAGCCTGTCTCTCATCATAACTGCTGTGCAGAAAGAGGAACTCTCCCTGATTTGTGGACAGTTTGTCTCTCCTGCAGGTTGCTCTCTGTTTCTTGTCAGCAGGAACAGGACTGAAAAGCTTGGAGCACAGAATTCCTAGATTGATGTTGTGCTAGAAACCACAATGTGTGACAACTTTCCAGAGAAAATGAAGCTATGAGGTAAACCCATCTGCCAAGGGCAGTGCTGGACAGAGCTGCCACTACCTAAACTCAAATATTTACGATAAATTTCTTATGGTCTGTGGTCCTGAGTGTGTTAAAGGTTGATTTGTGATCAGTATACACATACAGTACCTGAGAGTGCAAGTTAATAAGCCTTAACAGGGCTGGAATACAGCAAGTTCTGGAAGAGATAGCACAGGTAAAGAGTCAATGCACCATGGAATTCACCTTTGCTAGATTTAACCTGGATAGAAATGTCCCATGTGGAGTCAAACTGCAAAAGATTTTTAGTATTTATTATCAAAGTTGCAAATCAATAATATATTGCCAGACTATATCCAGAAATCTGAGCAGTTGTTTCACTGAGAAGTTTGAAGGTGGATTGAGAACAAGTGTTCGTGTTCTAAGGAAAGTGCTGGATATTTACAGAGATTTTTTTTTTTTTTTTTCCTACAGCACCAGTGCAAAAATGCAGCTCCCCCAGCCTGCCCAGGCTGGCAAGTAAGTCTCCCCTGGAGACAGCCACTTCTGGAAATACAGCAACTCCCACCAGTGCAGCCTGCCATTGTGGCACAAATAAAGGGATATTCAAAAGAACATGTGAAAACATGACATAAAATGGGAGACTTCAGAACGACAGCTTTTAGACCTTATTTTTCCATTTTTGGATATTCATACCAACTCCATCACTAGAATCTGGGTATTTGTGCTTTCGCACACAGACTCTCACACTCACATGCAGATCATTGGAGTTACAGCTTCTTAAAAGTCGGAGACTATACATAATTGAACTACTAACTCATCATGAAGGGAAAGCCACTCGGCTACTGAGAAACAGGAAAAAGCCCCAACTTGCTATCACTGGGGCTGTACATTATTTTTCAGCTTGACACGTTGGTCCTAGATGATGGTCCGAGCCACAGAAACCAGAAGACAAAAAAGAAGCGATCTTCCACGTTCGCTTCTTAAATGAATTTACGGTGAAATGAAATGAACACGCAGACCTTTGTTTCCACCATACATCAATGGCATTTAAAATAACAAAGGGAAACAAAACAAAACACCAAACGCCAGGATAAATTGCGTCGTCCGGCGGGATCTATCAAACGCGTGAAACTCCACCCCCGTCTCTGGCCGGGTGACGCCAGAGCCGCGACCGTTCGGGCCCGCCCGCTGTCGCCTGACCCGGGCGGGGCAGGGGCGGCGCAGGCGTGGCTGGGCTCGGTGAGGCTCGGTGGAGGTAGAGGCGTCTGGCTCGGTGAGGCGGCCGCGGGGTCGGACCCCCTGAGTTTTCGGGGGTCCCTGCGGAGCCGGGGGCTGGTTGGAGCGGGACGGGCAGGGGAGGCCGCGGGAGGCATCGGAGCGATGGGGCCCTGCGGTGCGGCCGCGCTGCCGCCGGGGAGCCCCCACAGGCAGGTGGTGGGAGCGAGAGGCGGGGACGGGCGTCATCAGGGGAGGTTGAAGTAGCCCTGATGATAAATATTGAAAAGAGTGTTTTAAATTGTTATTTGTGAGAATACTTGGGAAAACTGCTCCTTGTATTCTGTCTTGTTTTGTTTTTAAAAGATTTGTATCAGGCAGTTTTGAGTTTCTTGAATCTGGAAAAACGTTGGTAGCGATGAGAAACTGGCAGGCACACAGCTAATGAAATAGTGTTAAGTAGCCGTCTTACATAACACTAAATTTTTTATGATGATCTTGGAATGTTTGGCCACGGAATGGTAGTACAGTGTACATCGGTGCTGCGAAAAACGTTAGTGCTGGGCAGCGCAGCTGCGAGATGAAGGGAATTATCTGCTCTACTGCTTTTCACTTTCTGTTTTAGAGAAGTGACAAGTAGGCACCCGGGGCCTAAAAGCTCTGTGGGGAGAGCATGAGATGGAGGTGCAAACCAAGGAGTCAGGAAGGACGTGCTTTCATTTGGCCAGAAATCATCTTAAAASAGCAGTAGAGGAGGAAAATAGGCATGCTGGCCTGGTGCTGGGRTAGCAGCCTGAGAAGAAGGTGTAGGTTTAAATGTCAGAGGATGGGGCTTACTGAAATATTTTGAGAGTAATTTTGAGAGTAGGAATTACTTTAATGTCACCAATTCTCTCTGTTGTGTAGTCTGTGATATTATCTAGCCTTATAAACTTTTTTTCTTGGTTTCAAAACTAGGAGTAGGCTACCACTTAATGAAGAATTTAAGGACTTCTTTAAACAAATAAATTTAAATAAGTTAAAAGCATAAAACGGTAAATTTTTCAGCTAGTGTAAGTTTATATTCTAGATAACATTTAATTCAGTTTGTTCTTTAAATTCTTGAAAGTTACTATTACTTTCTTAACTGCTCTTTCCTTACACAACTAAGGCTTAAACAATTCTGTTGGTATTGTACTTTTTAATTGGTGGCTGAGAGAAAAACAGTTGACAAATATGAAGAGCTCCTGGATTAAGGGTGGGTTTTTTTTTTGTTGGTTTTTTTTGTTTTTTTTTTAATTTGCTTTGTATTTTCCTCCCTTACTTCTCCATCAAGATTAGTGAGTTGGAAAGTGTAGCCTACCTCTGTCAGTCAGGATTTTTAATCCTTTTAATAAGCCTTAGGCTTCATGTTTACTGACTAGCAGTGAGATCCATCACCAACCTGTATTTTTGTTAATATACATTACTTTTTAATGAAGTGGGCTTTGCTGCTAAAGAGAAAGARTGGGTGAGATAGTAATTTACAATATCAAATTAAACTCAGGTTTCATTGTTGTACTGTAGCCTCCCTTGGCCAAGACATTTAAAACTACAGATTATATCTGGACAGAGACAAAGAGGGCTCAGGTGCTGGATTGATGTGTGATTATCTACAGTGCCCTTTAGCTCTTACCTCATTTTTTGACTGGTTTTCTCTGAGAYGAGTTCCTCTAAATCTTAATTAACACTAAGTGGTGCAGATCTGAGCTTATCTTAACTGGCCATAACAACAAAGGTTGGCTTGCAGTGCTCTCATTATTCAATAATACGTATTTCTCCATTCATTAGAGCTTTAAAACAGGGGAAATATGATTCAGCAGTTTCCAGAAGTGGGTTATAGGTAAGTATTAAAACATTCAGCACACTTAAATACTACATTAAGGTCACGCACTGACAATAGTAAACAAAGATATTTCTTAGATATGATCAGATTACTACTAACATATTCTGTTTCAGAGAATATTTATTCTTGTGTTGTGAGGGAGCAATTAGATAAGCTTAGTTAACACCATCCATTCTTTTGTGTTAATTTTAWTCAGTTATTAAGAATTAATGAAATTCAGTTTTTTGGGCTGACTTTTAGTTATCACATGTTTAGCTTTAAATCTACTGTGAAGTCCTTCCTCTATTTCCAAATGCTCTGCCAACCAAATGCATAATTTGGAGGTAACTATGCTGCACATATACTGCAAACTTGGGATGTTTCAGACAATCAGAGTTGTTGAGCCTGCTTTTGTATCTCTGCTGTGCACTAGTGCTGGGTGGACACTGATGGTGCTGACATCTCCATTTTATTACAGACCTTTTGTAGTGTCAGTTAAGACTGAGCTTTAGCAAGAACAGTGCTGCTGTCAGTATGACAAGTATACAGTGAATAGTAAATTAAATATTAAGTTGATATGTAGTTATGACTTTAGGATTTTACTTGATGTCTCTTCTTCTTATAGGGTAACAATCCCTAGCAAAATAATTATTTGAAATCTGTAAAGTATCTTTGCATTAGCCTCACCCAGAAAAAAACAAAATCGATAAACATGGGGCAGAGGCGAGTATTTTACTGCAGTTGTGTTCACACAAATGAATCATTTACTTAAAGCCGTAAGAAAGGACTTTATACAGGATTGGGGATGCAGGCACTAAAAATCTCAAATCAGTAAATCCTGCTCATAAAGAAGTAAACAGTGATGATTAAACAGATTAAACTGTTCTCAGTCTTCTAAACATTTTCTGTGTCTTGAGAACCTACAATTGCCTGATTTTCCTGAATTAACAATGCCTCTCAAGGCTGCCAGGAAAAAAGGAAATAATTGGAATTAATGATTTGTACTTTCTGCGTGTGGCCAAGACCAACAATATGCATATAGTTAAAACAATGAATTTATACATTTTAGAGTTCAAACAGACTTACTGGATTCTTCTCTGCTCTTCAGTTGTTGAAATACATGAGACGGTTTAAAGAATACATTCCAAGATAGACCTAGAACCTGCGACCCGGTATTTCCTGTTTTTGTCACCAGGGGAGCAAGGCTGCATTTTTGCAGCACCAATTGCCTTATCTCACTCCATAAACATTGTAAAAGAAATAAGTAGTTCCCTGTTTTTATTCTATAAAGCGCAGCTTTAACTGTTCGAAGTATTTCACAGTTCAGAATGTGGATGTTAGTTGAAGTTGGTCAAGATTTGTTTAAATATGTTGAGTGCTTTCTTTTAAATTATTCAAGTGGAAATGTACTTTTTGTAAGTTCAGCCTTTATTTAAATAGAAAAAAATGGTAACTGATTTTTTTAATACCTTAGAGATGTTTTTGAAAATGTTAGATTTTAAAAAAGTTATTTGTTAACTCCTCTTGTTTGCTACTGATCTTGAAGATGAAAAATTTGGTATCAGTCATGTCCATCTTCTTCTGATGTTTAACTTCTAGGAAATTAAAATCTGTCATGTAACTAGATTTGATAATTATAGATTCCTTGCTGTCTTGGAATCAGGCCAACTGAATCTTAGTGTTATTAGGAGATAACCATAACATACCAGACACTGTTCCAAGCAACTAGATAGATTCCTGCTAATACTTGCAGTATGGTCATCATTAAGAACACATTTTCTTCTAAGGTAAGCATTGTTTGGCTTTCTCTCTGTATATTCTTATTGATTTTTATTCCAGTTTGCAGTAATGGAACAGCTGGAGGATCCAGTTACACAAGAAGATGCAAATATTAAAGCCATTAATGAAGAGTACAGGAAAGCCTTTATTTTTATCAATAAAGGTCTGAGTACAGATGAATTGGGTCAGAAGGAAGAGGCAAGAAGTTACTATAAGCAAGGGCTTGACCACTTGCTCCGAGGAGTTAGCATTCCATCAGAGGGTCCTGCGTGTGTAGGGTCCCAGTGGGAGTCTGCCAGGCAAATGCAGCAGAAGATGAGGGAGACCCTGCAAAATGTTCGTGCTCGACTTGGCATTCTAGAACAAAACACCCCGCCAATAGAAGCAAGTCCTGCTATGATGGATACCCGTCCTGCGGTGCCCAAGTTGTACCCATCCATTCCTTCCAAAGAAAAGCCGGAAAGACCCCCTGCCCCTCGTTCTCTGTTTGTAGCAAGTCAGCCACCTGCAGCAGATGGAGATGTTGCAGTGATAGGTCAGGGGCAAATCCCAGCTATGAGTCCATCATCTGCAAAACCTCTTTGTCTGCCAAACGAAGCACCCCCTGCCTATACTCCTCAAGCTACCAATGGCCACTTTACTGTGTCTTACGGCACAGACTCAGGGGAGTTTTCTTCTGTGAGTGAGGACTACTACAACAATAAGTGTAGTCAGCCACCTCCTTTGGAAAACCTGGGAGTGGATGCAGATGAGCTTATCCTGATTCCCCAAGGAGTGCAGATATTTTTTGTGACTCCTGATGGGCAGGTTAGTGCTCCTTCATATCCTGGATATCTGCGTATCGTGAAGTTCTTGGATACACAAAGTGAAGCTGCTCGGAATCRTCCGCCTGCCTTTCTTCAGGTAACAGGAAAATGAGTTTCTCCTTTACTTAAAATGTCAAGAACTGTCATAAAACTCTTAACAGGCAATCTTAAGTTCTTGCTCCTCCGAGCCTAACAATCTGTGTGATAATATGAAGGATGTCGCAGGTGTTGYAGAAATGGATTTTTGCAAGTACACACTTTCATGATTCTTTCTGTGAAAAGCACCTGTGTGTCTTCCCAAAGTTTTCAAGTACTGACTATTCTGATGAGTTCCAATGTGTAAAGGAGTTGACTTAACATGTCTTTTCATTTCATAAAATTGACTTCTTTCATCACATAGAGAAGATGTGTTGATTCATCTATTGTAACAAATCACTATAAAATGGGTTGGGTGCTACCTGCTTCATTCTCGTTGCAGCTATGACAGCTGATAATTTGAAATTTGAGGGTCCACGTTAATCCAGACTCAGAACTACAAATAAAAAAGATGCATTGTTTTTACTTTTTCAATCCTTACTTGCTTCATGTGGGCATGTTCTGTAATGAGGATTGTGTTTCTGGTCTGGATTCTGACTTAGGATCTCTTTGTTTGGGGTCTGCTGGTTCAGCTCTACCCATGTTAGCAGTCTTCAACAGTAGGCCAGTAACAGCCATGCATTTCTGTTTGTCTTATCAAATAAACCTGTCCTGAGATGTACAGAGTGGTACAGGCACTGTGAATCCTGACTTGTTTGACAGTTCTTTTCATCTCACCCTCAAAATGAGACTTCAGTTAAGAGGATGCCAGCCTGAACTATTGTCCTGTGATTAGTATTTTGTCTATATTAGAYTGTCAGAACTGATCAAGAGTGGTATTTCCAGAATCACATGGCTTTGGTTTTTTGGGGATTTTTTTTAAATATTTTTCAAGATGGCATAAGGCTTTTTATTTTTCATCATAGAGTCATAAAATATTTGAGTTTGGGTTGGAAGGGACCATAAAGATTCATTTAATTCCAACCGTGCTGCTTTCAGCAGGGAACCTCTCACTAGAAGGTTCCACTAGAATCTTTATGGAAAATGTAATTTGTGGTACTTAYCAGTATGTTCTGCCTGTCTTTCTTTTTAAAAGCATCCTTTGATTCTTTCATGTACTTGGCTTTTCTAGGTCTGTGACTGGTTGTATCCTCTGATGTGTAACCAGTCTCCTGTTCTGTGCTGCAGTACTGGGGTCTACATGTTCCCTGACACAATGTCCCAGATACCAGGGTCCTACGTAGGAGTAGTGCTGTCTTCAGAACTTCCCGCAGCTGACAGAGAGCTGTTCGAGGATCTCTTGAAACAGATGTCTGACCTACGAATCCAGGTGAATTTCTGTCCTGTCTGTTATAAGCCAATGAGGAAATCATCAATATGTTCTCACATTTATATTTAGTTGTGTAAAATGGCAAATTTTTGTCTTGGTTGGTAAGCTCATCAGTAAGAAGTAGAGAAAGCAGCCACTATTAGGCAGCTTTGTCATGAAACTGTAGGTCCTATGAGTTGAGAGGACAGAAATTTTAAAATACTAAATAAAATACTAATTACTAATGTTGTAAGCACAGAGCAGAATTTGAGGCCATTTTTTCTGTTTTCTCTATTTTTCTGAAAGAGAACATAGGACTTAAAATGAAATTACATGTTCAGGAGATTATGCATACACACAAGGAAAAACATGCTCAGAACTCTCTGTGTGGTTTTAAGGATACCATTCTTGGAATATTGTGCCCAAATGTGTCTGCAGTTCGAAAATGTTGASCCACCTCAGAGAAGATCTGTGAAAATAGTATTAGAAAATAGATTCAAAATCTGCCTTCCAGTGGGATCTCTAAATAGGTAAATCTGGTGCCTTGCTGCAATACATTGTTGRCAGGTAGAGAAAATAGCAAATAGCTCCCCTCAGTCTAACAAAGATGCAATARGATTCAGTGACTTGAAACAAAGTGGGAAATACTACTCTAAGAGCACTGGAGCATCATTTCAGGAAGAGTGATACTCAGTAACTACTTTAAAGATCATAGCATGATTAAATCTTTTCATGAAAGCATTTTGTTGAATCACCAAAATCTGAATGCAGTGATGATGAAGGACCAGACTCTGAGGGCAGAGTTCTGTTATGGTATAAATTCTGGTGAGTTCAGCAGGGAATTTCACTAGCACAGAAGGCCACTAATTTTTACTTAAAAGGGGCAACTACTACAGAATTATGTGATATTGACTCCCTGGATAAAATTGTGGCATTTTTCCTGCGTAGAAATAGTTCAAATTTGATATCTAATTGGTTCCTTATTTTCCTAAAACTACATGTTTTTGTTAATGTTCCCTGATAYGATGTCACAGGTGCCAGGATCCCTTGAGAGAGTAGGGGTATTTTCAGAGCTCCCAGCAGCTGAGAGGGCACATTTTGAAGATAAATTTAAACAGAAGTCTGGCCACAAAGTCCAGGTAAATGCCAGGACATTCCAAAATTCTATAGTTTAAAAAAAAAAATGGTCACAGAAATGCATGTTGGAATTTCTGATTTGATTGCCAGCAGCTGTGTATGCTGTGTCCTGTAGTTTTGTTTTTTGTTGGTTTTTTTTGTTTTTTTCTTTTGGGTGGAAGGTTTTTTTGGTTGGCTTGGTTTTTTTTTTTTGGTTTTTTTTTTTTTTTTTTTTTTTTTTTTTTTTTTTTTTTTTTTTTTTTTTTTTTTTTTTTTTTCTTTTGTTTGTTTTGTTTTGTTCGGATTCTTGTCAAACACTGATTCAGTTACTGCAGGCTGCCGCGTTTTTCAAATCAGCATATTTCTGAAATTTTAAGAACTCTGATATATCACCAATATTTCAAAGCCTAGTCTGATGGCTGTTTAATGTGTCTGTTTCACATAGTACTCATGAGGATCTAATTGACAACTATATTTAGTATAATTATAGTACTGTCTTATTAGAGAATCCATTTCTGCTCCTTCAGTGTAGTCCTTCGAAGTCTTGTTGACTGATATTCTATATAGTGGCCCAAACTGTGGTGTAACTAAATTGCGTCTGGAACATAGTTTGGGACTTTTAATAGTTTTTTTTTTTGTTTTTGTTTGTTTGTTTTTTGCCTATAGCTGTTTATTGAGGTAATTTCTCCTGCCCAGCCCCCAGTGTTTTGGTCACATGCTGAAGACCTTTTCTGAAAGTGACATTTCACACTACTGTCAAGCAGTAATTGATAATATAGTACATGTCAGTGATACATTGTTAACCTTCTGGGTAGCAGCATTCTAATCTACTCTTTTCTGCAATATTCAGCTATGTGCAATACACTGCTTTTATGTTCAGTAGATATTTTAGGGGAATTTAAGAATTCCATGTAATCGCAAATACTAGTCTATCTAGTGTATTCTGTTCTGCCGATGGGTTTAACTATAAATGCTTTCATTTGGACTCTTCTAGACTAAACATTTTTTTTTCTTTCTGTCATTAACCAGCGGTGTTTTTAATCTTTGAGATGTCTGGGTCTTTTATTTAYTTTTACACTGGAAGAGTTCTCTTAACAAAAACTTAAATCTGCTACAAATTTTTTAGCTTTCTGTAATTAAAGTTTAATTATACATTGTCTGTGAACTGTGTAAAGTGATGTTACACTTTTTAGAAGCACTAAGCAGAATGTGCTGGTGCTGGTTGCTGTATTTGAATGATTAGCTACTCCAGAAACTGTAGAGTTTGATGTGAAGTCACAAAGAACCTGTCCACACAGCTTTAAATAGGGATCAGTATTGTGCACAGTTTGATGTTTTCCTTGGTTGTGCCAGTCCGAAAAAGCAGCAACAGCACACAGCATGAATAATCTCCTTTATTATTGAAATTGGGAAGAAAGGATGAGGAACAAAACAACCAGAACAGCTGCATTCCTTTACTGCAGCTGGATCCCCTAACCAAACACTGCAGTTTCCATGCTGAATAAAAACAGAGTTCTGCCTGTTATGAGTAGAGAAAAATGAGAGATGGACAAGTTTCTTATCTGTTTTGCTAGTGAACTTGTAGTGTAATTTTTCCCTGCTTAGCTATTTGGCCATATGGCTGCATTGGCAAGCAACTCTTTTCACTGTCTGGATGTAAAAAGTACACAAAAAAGCTGACCTGTCTGATAAACTTTTTTGGGTGTTTAGCATTTCTGTGAAAAAAGTAATTGAGTCTTAAATTTCCCTTGAGTTCCTGTACACTTAACCAAGGCATGTACGACATTAGTATTACTTGACAATGGATGTATACGATCTAAACCAGAAATCCCAATGATACGTTGCAAAGTAGATGCTCAGATGTTTGTTTTCACTTGTCAGCCTTCAGAAGCCTGCAGTGATACAGTTCACTTGCCTCAGACTGTCCATTTGCAGCCACAACCTGAAGAAGCAGAAGATCAGAAAGAGTTACCAGAATGGAGTGAGAAAGTTGCCCATGGAATCTTGTCAGGTACAGTTGTAATAAGGGAACCGTGTTGAATAGAAACCAATGTGAGTGACATTTAAACAGTATTTTGACCTAATTGCATGTATGCTGATAGAAGCTGAGTGGTCAAAAGTAGTTGTTCATTAGTTTCTGTGTTGATCTTCTCAAGGATGCCTTGATGAGCTTTATAAAAAACATGCAGAATACAAATMCATTGCCAACAGTTTGTTTATTGCAAAGGAGTTTGGCTCCTCGTTTGACTGTTAGACTATCACCTGCTATGACTCAGATGCCTGTGTGGACATCCATTACAGATGGCATTTATTGTGATTTCTGCAGATAAATGTGGGGTTCTTTTTCCTTGGAGATCCTTTYGAATATACTAATGACCACCAGCTGATTGTAATAAATATGATTCTGCAAGGAAGGATAGAGGGTTGGGTTGCATGTGTCATTTGTGTTAATAACATTGAGATATGCACTTTTCACTTCTGACTCAGCTGACACTTGCATATCTATTAAAAAAACTGAGTATCTGCATTAGGTTCACATTTGGACATGGGCTGGCTGTATTAAACTTAAATAAAATTAATTTCAAAAGTGGTAGTGTAGGTGCAGAAATTACTGCAGGACTTCTTTGCTGGCACATTCAGGTTGAACTATAATTGCAAACTGTAATCAGGAATGTTTCTAAAGTGAGTGCTGTAGAGGCAGAGGGATAGCTGAAGGAATCATAGTCTGTAAAATTGTACATACTAAGAAAAACAATTTTTGCCTTGAAGGTGCATCTTGGGTAAGCTGGGGCCTAATGAAAGGAGCAGAATACACTGGTAAAGCTATTCACAAAGGAGCTTCTAAACTGCGAGAGCACATTCAGCCAGAAGAAAAGCCTGTGGAAGTCAACCCAACTGTAGCAAAGAGTCTTCATGTAGCAAAACAGGCCACTGGAGGAGCTGTGAAAGTCAGCCAATTATTAGGTAAAAATTTCCATCTTATACAATATAATATTTTTGCCTTAACTAATAAAAACTTCATAAAATGCGAGCTGTTTTCTCTAGCTGGTAAACTAGAGGAGGTACTGACCTGATAAAATCCAGAGATCAGTAGTTTGTGCCCCATGATGTCCTGCAAGAGATGTGCTTTAGGACTAGTACATATTACTTGGCCCATAGACATCTTTTTTTTTCCCTAAAAGAATAGTCTGTATAGTCTTAAGTTTAATCTGCTTTTGAAAGTTTTAGACAATGAAAAATAGTTTCTCTTTTATTTTGATAACCATGTCTTTTAAAAGCTCTACTCTCACTGGTTATTAATACTTAATACCCCYAGAGAATGTGTGTGTGCATATTTTTAAACACACACACCTGAAACAAGTCTATTTGACTATATATCAATATCAAGATAGAAATGCCTTAGTGTTTAGAGGTGTGTGGCACCTCTTAGTAACTTCTCTTTATTATTTATTTGCATATAATGTTTATATTTACTGTCTAGTGACTCATCCAAGTGTAAAAGTAAATTTGGCTGATGTTATAAAACTACTTTGAAGAGCTAGAATGCTTGTAAGAAAGATTTCTACAGAAGACAAGTCAGGAAAGCAGCAGCTTGTTCTCTATCTGCAAGTTGGAAATAATAAAGCAATGGAAACAGTTTCTTGAAATTTGAGTTTGAGTGTTTCTTTTGAGGCACTTTTTACCCACAAGGCCAACCTTACTTGTCTCTTAGGATTTGGAGCTATATAGAACCTGAAAAATAAAGTTGCTTGGTATCAGTTGGGCACTTAGATGTGGATTAAAGTCTGTGTTTCAAATAAGCATATTTAAATAGAAGCATCATGTAACACTTTAGTGAAGCCTCCTTTTAATTATGAGTAAAGATATTTAAAGAAGGATGTTCTATATTCTTATTTAATAATGTGCATACTATTGTTTTATGGTAGTTGAAGGGGTGTGTTCTATAGCAAGCTGTGTTGGAAAGGAGCTGGCTCCACATGTGAAGAAGCATGGCAGCAAATTAGTTCCAGAATCCCTTAAGAAAGATAAAGATGGCAAATCTACTTTTGATGGTGCTCTGGTTGTAGCAGCAAGTGGAGTTCAAGGTAATAAAAATTCCTTACACTTTTTCAATTGCAAATTTTTTATAGCATGGTCTCATATAAACTGATTGTTTCCTACAGGGCTTTCAACAGTGTGGCAAGGTTTAGAAAGTGCAGCGAAGTGCATTGCTAAAAGTGTTTCAACTGAGACTGTAAAAACCGTCAAATACAAGTAAGATATGTTTTTATTGTTTTCATCTTCTACAGCACACTGTTAATGTGTTTGAATATCAGGAAAAAAAAGCTTATGCAAGTCCAGGGGAAGCAGCTGAAACACCTGATTTCCTATAATTATGTAGCATGTGATAAAAGTGGTAACTGCACAGTAATGAGCACCTCCTGTATGCAAAAATCTGAAACGAGTAAATGATTGTAAGAAATATGTTTTAGTTCTTTGTAGAAGTATTACAGGCTGTTGCAGGCTTTGCAAATTTGCTTCAGGCAAATTGCTATTGCTTCAGGCTGTTGCAAATAATGTTCAGATTTATATCTTCGCTCTGTGGTATAGTGTAATTATGAAAAAAAATTACTGGTTTAAACCTCTCAGGTCTAATCCTGAATTTATACAAACTTAGCTAAATTTATGAAAAATGAAAGAGCCTCATCTATCAGCAGGTTTGGCTAAAGCGAGAAGGTACAAAAGAAAACAATTTTGTAAGGAAATCTAAGGCATATATAGCAATAGTAGAACAGGCTTGACTTGCAAAATACAGATGTTCTTAGAAAAAGATAGTGGGGAAGAGGACAATAACATTTGGGATAAAGATGATATTACTAAGATGATGGAAAGATGAGAGCTGTATGTATGTACTGGRAGATGCTGTGGAGAATAAAGGAATATATTGAAAGAACTCTGAAACATGAAAGGCACCCCTCACAAAAAGGGCAGTAGATTTAATAGAAAGTGAAGAGTAAGCAAAAGCAAGCAGGTTAAATGGAATCGATGATAAGTGAAGCAAAAGAGATATTAAACGGATTACTGAAAGTGCATACAGGCTACAAACAGATGATAACAAGATAAACATCAGCATACAGTATTAAGCAGATTGGCATTCAGGGTTGTGTTACAACATAAATTCATGTTAATSCTTCCATTTTAGATACAAATATAGGAAATACGGATATAGGCAGAAAAGAGATACTATGAGTGAAAAACAATAAGTAACTACCTGTTGCAGCTAACTACAATATGATTGAAAATGTTTGATATGTAATCTTTAAAATCTATCCTTATAATTATTTAAAATGCTACATAATCTCCTTTTTGCAAGCTGTTCTTTATTTCAGTGACAAAGATTTCTGCCACTCAAAATACCAGTGAGCGAGTTAAATTCCATTTAATGGAAAAAAAAAGGAGCACCATCAGTGTTTCTAAATTAAAAAAGGGCTAAAACTTAGCTGCTGTACCTTTGTGGATGGAATTGTAAAGAGATGCTCATCATGTGCATGTTGATTGAAATAAGAGAAAACATAGCTTGAGAAATAATATTTCTCCCAAAGTTCCATGCCATAAAAAACTACTTAAATAAATGCAGTGTACATATCTGCATGATTAAAAAAAAGTTTAAAATTATGCAATTGAGACAGGCAAACTCAAAAATTTGTTACCAGACATTAATAAGTTGTTAGACTTACTGTATTGGATAAGCTACAGTCTTACTTTAAATGAGGTTACTTATTTTACTGATACTATGCTGGTTTATAATATTCCTGAGGTGAAAATAATGGAATTAAGACACTAATCAAACTTGACAAATACTTTTGCTGTGAGATTAATTCTGTGACCTACAAATCCAGTGTTGATGATTCAAGGCTGTTGCTCTATCAGAGAATTAAAAGCACAACAAAAACCCCACTAATTCTTTCTATTTGGTTTCACTGTTAGTTCCAGCCACTAGCTGCTCTGGCTGCTGTACTGCTATATTGTAGATTTTTTTATTCTTTTATATTCTTTGCTTCTCTCTAGCCTTATCTTGGGGTCCTCAAAGAATGTCTGCCCACATCAAGCACAGGGAAAAAGTAAATCTGCTGACTGCTGGGATTCTAATGCTGCCAGGAATACTTTAGTTTGTCTGACCGAGGTGCTCTCTGGGGAAATGTCTGGCTACCCAGAACCGTTGGAATTACTGCTCTCACTGTACTCAGTGTATGCACACTGTCCTCCCTTCAGTGTGCTCTCTGTATACAATTGAGTCATTAGTATGAGATTGCCAACTTGCCCACTAAAGCATAAAGAAGTTGGACTTACAGCCCATGTCAAAGACTAAAGGTTTTTATGTCTTCCTAATTTTCATCATGTCCTTAAGATAGTTTAGTTGAACCTTTTGGAGTCTTGTATCATGCAGCAATCCAGGTGGGGTCTCACAAGAGAAGATCAGAGGGGCAGAATTCCCTCCCTCGGCCTGCTAGCCAAACTGCTTTGGATGCAGCCCAGGGTGCAGTTGGCTTTCTATATAGATGGTATAGGAATTTTACCTAAGAACTTAGGTGAGAAGGAGTCTTTAGTTATTGCACAAAACTTCTCTTCCTCCCTCCCCCTCTCCCCCTTTCTTATGGTGCTATAGATAAGCTTTCTACTCTTCAAAATTAGAGGGACAAGATGGAGAAAGACTGGAAGGGTGCTTGGAAAAAAAAAAAGTACAAGCAATTGATCTGATAGAGGAACAGCCTTTACTCAAATGGCTTAATAAATTCTAATTGTATTCTTTAGGCATTCAAGCACTGTGCTTATTACTTGTTGTCTCGGTTTGGAAAAGACAGGTGTTTGCTTATGAAGGCAGGGACCTCCCTTGGAGTGGTGGGTATGATCCCCCTTTCCCTCCGAATTATTATAGCTTTGGAAGAAATCAYGGGCTTTCAGGCAAGAATATGGGTAAAAGGGAATAACAGTTTTTACTAATATATATATATATATATATATATAACAAGGTGAAACAAGTAACAATAAAAAGAGCAACACACAGCCCAGTCCCAAACCCAGTGACAGCCTTACAGAGACACAGTCTCCCCCTTGGTGAAGTTACAGTTCCGTTGGCAGAGACGCTGTTGGCTCCCRGCCGGGTAAGGTGGGTGTGACGATTCTTCGGAGGCTGCAGGGGACATGGTGGYGGTCCTGGCTGGCTCAGATCTCCCGCGGCGCCAATGATCGATACAAAATGGCAGAGGTGGATGGAGAAAAGTTTCTCTGCAAAACTCAGCAGAAAACGCTGATCTCCTCTGGACAGCAAGAAACCCAGGACCGCAAAGAGACGAGCAGGAATCCCGCGGTTGTGAGACGGGATGGAGCAGAGTTCACACCCCTGAAGCTGGAATCCCC